GAAGGAATTAGTTAAGATGAGTTTGCACTGGAAGAGGCTGGAGTTTGAACCATTATGATTGGGGTTCTTCAAAGAAGAGCAATGTGAAGCTCAGGCATTAACTGGGAGAAGGCTGTGTGATTAAAAATAAATAAATAAATAAATAAATAAATAAATAAATAAATAAATAAATAAATAAATAAATAAAAGGCCAAGACTGGACTTACGCAAGTGAAAGAATAGCAAAGGCTGCCACTAAACCACGGGAAGCCACAGGACCTGGGTAAGGATTCCCTGTGGGTTACAGAGGCTCTGTGGCCTGCCAGCTCGCTGTTCTTCCCCTCTAGAACTGTGAGACACTACATTTCTGTTGATGTCCATCCTGCCTTGCTAAGGCAGCCCTGGGAAGCTGATTCAGAACCCTGTGACACACTTTGTTTAAACACCTTTCTCCTGTTGTGTGTCCCTGAGAAGGTCACTAGGCCTTCAGCTTGCTGTAGATTGAAACTCTTCCATCGCAATGTCTCCCAACTTGTATCTCCTGAGCCGGCTTCTCTGACCCTGGTGCCAGGCCTGTCCCCAAGCATACAGCAAGTGCTTCTACACCGCCGCCACCACCACAGACTCTCCTGCCGGGATGTAGCTGTATCTTCTCACAAGATAATGGCACGTGTGATGGCCTAACTGTGTCTCCTCTTCCCCAGTTCTTTGTTGAGGCCCCAGCCCTCAGTGTGATAGTTTGGGGGGCATGGTCCCTTTCTAGGTGATTAGGGTTAGATAAGGTCTTGAGAATGGGGCCCATGTGGTGATCTGAGAGCTCTCAGAAGAAGAGACCCCACAGAGCCTGCTCTCCTCACCCCACTGTGGGCACACAAAGAGGACGTCAGGTGAGGACACAGCCAAATGGTGACCCCCTACAAACCAAGGGAAGCCTTGGAGCAAACCCTGCCTTGCTAGTACCTTCTCCTTGGAGTTTGCAGGTTCCAGAACTATGAGAAACCAGTTGCCTCTACTTGGGCCCCTAGTCTGTCCAGGGTGTGCTGTGATGGCCCTGAGCTGCCTGAAACAGTTAGGTGTTTGTGCTCTGCTTCCAAAACAGCCAGCATAGCGGGGCTTCAGAGACTTGATTAGTTTCCTGGGGTTGCCGGAACAAATCACCACAGTCCTGGTGACTTAGAATGGCAGAAATTTATTCTCAGTTCTAGAAGCCAGAAGTCCACATCCCAGTGTCGGCAAGGCCATGCTCACTCTGAAGGCTTGAGGAGAGGAGAATCCTTCGTTACCTCTTCTGCTCCTGGTGGCTGCTTGGCAGGCAGCTGATAGCTCTTATGCTTCCATATTTACAACACATCTGTCCTTAGGGCTAAGACCCTCCTGGGGACACAGCATCATCTCATCTCATGGTGCTTAATTACATCAACAACGATCCTTCTTCCTATCAAAGCCCATTCTAGGTGTTAGGATGTGGACATATCTTTTGCGGCACCACCATTCAACCCACCATGGATGCTTGTGTGGCTCAGAAAAAAAGAAATGTGATGCTAAATTATATGAGAAACAAAACTGGCAAAAGAAAAATAAAAAATGATTTATTCTGGTTTCAGGCCGTTATCTCATACTTTGCCTTTATGAAGATGTAAGTCTGGAATTTCCATATGGTTGGAAAGAAAATAACTGCAAACCTACTGAACTGGAAACATAGTATTTGATTTTCCACTTAGTGACAGGCTAAATTACAAAAGATTGCAAAGCATTTTATGTAGACATGAAGCTCTTGCTTTGCTGCAATTCAGCTTTGGCAATTTACATTAACAGTGTTCAGCCAATTACACCTCTCTTATCAACTTAGGGCATTTACAGCAGGGAGACCACACACAATTAAAGTTCTACCAGTCAGTCAGCTTCCAGATGGGTTCCCGCTCTCAGCCTCAATCTGTTTCCACAGTTCTTTCTCTCTGAGGCCTTTTCCTGTGGCTTACCAGTCTGTCCTCAAAGCAGGGAGCTTGGGGGGAGCGCTGTAGATCTGTTAGTGCAAATGGCAAAAGAGAAAGAAATTATGGCACCACAAGAAAAAAAAAGAATCAGAAGCATTTCCCAATGATCATCAGTAGAGCTGCATTAATATTTGTTGAGCTTAATCATTTTGATAGTCATGCTAGTGAGGTGTATAGAGAAATTACATCTTATCTCACAGATAATGAAACTGATGATAAAAAGATTTGGATTGCTTTTGCAAGTCCCTACAGTTTATGAGTGGTATCCCCACGCAAGCCAGGTGTGTTGACAAAACGTAAAGACACTCTATAAGGCAGATAAATTTCCAACATATTTTAAGCATTGGAAGGATCATTTAAATAAGCACATGGGGCCTCCCTGGTGGCGCAGCGGTTGAGCGCTGGGCTGCGAAGCTGCCCGCAGCCTCTGCAGTGCCGGTTCGATCCCTGGCCACCAGCGAGGGTCCCACATGGCGCGCAGACCTCTCCTGCCGCCCGCTGCTCCCCCCAGCAGTGTACTTCTGTCCTTCTGCCTGCTCTGCTCCCCGCTCTGGCTCAGGTGAATTCTCTCACCCTCCCGCGCTTCTGACTGTACCCAGTGCTTGTATAAATAAATAAATCTTTTTAAAAAAATAAAATAAATAAGCACATGGATGCCTAAAGAGTCTAACCTAAAAGTCACACTGATTTGTGTAAAGTTTGCTAAAATTAAGTTTGTTTTCTTATAAGAACAAGATAGTCGATCTTTGAAAACCTTTTAAAATGGAAAAAAAGGTCAGGAAATAACAAGACTAACTTTTGTTTAAAGGCATTTGGCAAGCAAGGATTTTGCTTGAGATGGAAAAACTTCTAATTTTGTGAGTACAATCAAGGTCAGCAGAATGTCTCTAAGATTGGCTTCAATTTAGGCTCAAGAGCTTGAGAGCTTGAATGTTTGTGATCTGAAAAAAAAAAGACAAAAGATGAAACAGAATCAAAAGAAGGGAAAAATGTGGACAATTTGAGCTAGTTCATGCAGGTTGAGTTCAGGCTTACATCCCAGTGCCAACAGGCCTGTTACACTGCTGAGAAACTACTCTATTGAAACAACAGAAGACCCCAGAACTTGATCTATAAATCATATATTTGCAAAAAGCACTTAATTAAAGATGGAAAAGGTATGAAAAAGATACCCTTGTTCAGTCACATAAAAAGATCATCAAATATCTTCAAACCACTTCAAAAGTCTTTCACAGACTCCAAAATTCTTCTCCCAGGGAAGTATTCTATTCTGTGACTCATTGAAGTAATGATTGGGAGGAATTATAGAGAGTATAACTTGTACATGATTTTAACATTCTATAAGGATAAAGATGTCCAGCAAGAGGCTCTTCTAGACTACCTCATTTAAAAGTCATTCAGGTGCCCTTTGGAATTAATGTTTCTGTGTCTATATCAGCACTATTTACAATAGCTAAGCTATGAAAACAACCCAAATGCCCAAAAATAGATGACTGGATCAAGAAGATGTGGTACATATACACAATGGAATATTACTCAGCAATCAAAAAAGATAAACTCATGCAGTTTGCAGCAACATGGATGGTGCTGGAAGGGATCATGCTCAGCGAAATAAGCCAGAAAGAAAAAGAAAAATACCAAATGGTCGCACTCATAGCAGGAGTTTAGAAAACCTAAATAAGGGACCAGGAAAAAGACTAATTAATACAAAGTAAAAATCAAAATCAACAAGCAACTATAAACCAGAGACACTACGGGGGGAAGGGGTGGGGAGAGGAAGGACTAGGGTCAAAATAAGGGGGGGTGCAATTGTCTGGGTAATATAACCGAAATGAAAATGCATACATTGTGCAAAAATGAAAAATGATGAAAGAATTATATAAAATAAAATATTAAAAAAAAGTCTTTCTGAAAAGTACATGTGATGTAGTTGATCCTACCTGTAGGTGGTTATATATGCTGTTTGCTAAATTTCCCTCACATCTGCACAAGAATAGAATTAGGCCTGCTGTATTGGTTGTATCCTGAACAATTCTAGGGAACATGATTCACACAGGTCACAGTGTGAAGGTTCACTCCAAGAAACTCCAGGCGTCCTGATGACAGCCCCTTGTGTCCTATCATCACATGATTTGGCAGCTTAGAAACCCCCCTTTCCAGTAACAACTTCTCTGAAGTGTGATGGTCACCTGTTTATATAAAATTACCCTATCACTGCACCTTTTATTAACAGGCTGTGGAAGTGTACTGGTACATAAAGACAGGTATTTGGATGTTCTTAGTTTCACTGTCTATCAATGGATAGAACAATTCACCTTTATTCTTGACATTTCATTACCCAGAACTTAGTGACTGTCAACCCTGTATCTTCTGACATGGAGAATGTTCCCAATCTTTGCTCCTCACTCTCTTTTACTACTTTATCCAAGGCTCATTGGCGTCAGGAGAAATACCTTTATGTTCTCATAGAATCGGAAACATTTATGCACGTTTCATAAATAACAGTTACTCTGTACCTCCAGAAATGTGAAATACATATAATGTATATTATATGAATCGTGTATGTATATGAATGTAATACACATAATTCATACCTCCAGCACACAATCACTGAGCTGCAACAGCATTTGTTTCCCTCTCTCGAGGGCTTGTGGAGTGTGGGGCATTTCTGCTTCTGGCTACCAGTCCTCAAAGTCAAGCCTGCCTGTCTCCTTGTTCTGTGACAAGCAGTTTCCCTGGGTGTGTTCTTTTCATGGTGGATGGCAGAAGCAAAACGGGGCAAACCAAACTTAGCAACACATTTCAAGCTTCTGATTGGTCATGAGTTCTACCTAAGTTCATTGGCCAAAGCGAGTTGACAACACTGGGGTGGAGACGTAACTTTTGACCCAAACGGCAGCTACTGCCTCATTGTATGGCAAAAGGGGGTGTGATAATTCTACAGGGAGTGAAGAACAATCCAGTGTGAGCCATAAGCCAATCCACACCATGTATGGAAATCTCACATCTATTCTCTGTCCTTTACAGGAGTTGAAATTGATTGGACTGGATATTCCACACTTTGCTGCAGACCTTCCACTGAACCGCTGTAAAAATCGTTACACAAACATCCTACCATGTAAGATTGTCAGTAGTGCTGATCCCACTCGTGTCTTTCAGAGGATGAGGGGCTGTTACTCAGATTGATTTGGTACACCAATGTCAGTCCAAATTTTGTTACGGTCTGGACTCTCGTGGTCAGCCTTGCCATTGACTGGATCACACTTGTGATCAAATCCTCTTGTATGTAGGGAGATTTAATATGCTTTGGAATGAGTTGTATCAGATCAGAAAAAGACTGAACATTTGCCCTCTGGACATCAAAAAATCTTAGCCAAATTTGGAGATGATGATTTGTGTTCTCAACTATTTTTAATTAATTCATTGACAATGGAAGGAGTAAATGGAAAAGGGAGGGAGATGTTTTAAATGCCTCCTCTTTCTTAGCTCTGGCAAGTTCTGTCATTGCTTAGCATTTTGTAGTAAAAGCTACAGTCAAGAACAAAGTAATGCACAGTACTATAAAGCCTAAATTCAAATTCAGGCTTTTTCAAATTCAAATACATTCTAGTGTGGACTTATCAGACTCCCCCTATACTCTGGGGCAGGAGAGTATCTGGAAAGAATGGAAAAGCGAAAAGAAGGAATCTGGGAAATGCTCTGGAAAGAGAACCCTCTCCTTGATAAGAGTTCTTTTTTTTATTTATACAAGAACTGGGGTACAGGTCAGAGGCACGGGAGTGTGAGAGAATTCACCAGAGACAGACTGAGGAGTAGAACAGGCAGATGGACTAAAGACACTGCTGAGGGGAGCAGCGGGCGAGACAGGAGAGGTCTGCCGCGCCATGTGGGTTTCTCCCTGGCCAGCCGGGAATCGAACCCGTACTGCAGAGGCTGCGGACAGCTTCATAGTGTGGCACTCAACCTGCTGCGTCACCCGGGAGGCCCCAATAAAAGTTCTTAATAACATCTGGTGGTATTACCACTGTAACCCTTTATATCTGTGCACACTTCACAGTGTACTTTTCTCATTTGGAGTCCATTTACAAAATGCTCAATGCCATCTCCTTCCCTCTTGGTTTTCAAAAGTTTGTGAGTTCTCTGAATTTCCCTATGTGATACAGAAATCGTGTATTTAGGCCTCACTCTGTGGTTTTACATGCCATCTCCCAGATGTTTTAATTCCTGTAAATATTCTGCCCAATCCCACTAAAAACCTGGAAGCAGTTCTCCCCAGAACAGGTGAGCTGGGGAGGAGAAAATATACTGGCTGGGAGAAATTTATGTGTTTATTTCAACAGCAACTAAGCTTGAGGAAGGCCTAGAGGAAACTTTGCCTGATCTCTCATTGACTTCACTTGATTCGGGTAGAGAGAATGAAGACTGCCCTGCCTTCCATTTCTGATTCTTAATGTTTTTTTCTCGTTTTTTACAGATGACTTTAGCCGAGTGAGATTAGTCTCCATGAACGAAGAGGAAGGGGCAGACTACATCAATGCCAACTATATTCCTGTAAGTAAAAGTAAAAATAGACGAATCAGGCATCCACATTCTAGGGGCTAGACTTGGCCACAGGGATGTGCCTCTCACAATTCTGAACATCCGATATTATTTCATTTAAGAACAAATAATTGGGGGAGGCAGAGCTAGGAGATTAGTAATATTCAGATTCTTTGTCAAGGACCAGTGAAAGTAGATACTACTAGTAGAGAATGCATTTCCTTAGTGGACTATGGGTGATTTGGTTGTGGGTCTACTACAGTAGCAATATCTTGGGGGAATCCAAATATTCCTTCAGTTATTGATAAAAATAAATCAATTTTAAACAAATTAAAGACAAATATTTATATATTTCTTGTTTCAGTTATGGCAACCAAACTAAAAGAGGTTCACCTGAACACTTGAGATTTAAAAATATCTCAAGAAACTGGACTTTGAGTGAACTGAGTGTAGTATTTATAGATGTTGAGTTATAGGGATGCACACCTGAAATTTATGTTATACTGTAAATTTCCTTAAAGAAATTACAAAATAGCTATAAAAATTGTAGTTGATGTTATAAAAAGATGCGAGTGTGATTTTATACATTTCTGGAAAACAGTGTTTAAAATAATACAGGACTACAAGACCAGTTGCTCTGATTTCCTCTTTGATGCCCAAAGCGGGGGGACTGTAACATCAGGGCATGACCCCTTGCCAGGTTCATCTGCAGTAAATTTTCAGTTCTCATTTAGGTGGGGCAGTGTGGACACTGGTTCCTTAGGCGACAACTTTGTCACTAATCTCGCAGGGATACAACTCACCCCAGGAGTATATTGCCACCCAGGGGCCACTGCCTGAAACCAGAAATGACTTTTGGAAGATGGTCCTACAACAGAAGTCTCAGATTATTGTCATGCTCACTCAGTGCAATGAGAAAAGGCGGGTAAGTCCTCACAGGCTGGCCCAGCGTAGCTCTGTCGTGGATTAGGTGGTAACTGCCTCCGAGACTGAGGCCTCCTGTCCCTCCTACTGTTGTCCGTACACTTGTCCCCTACGGTTCCTCTAGGCCAGTGGGGACTGTGTGTTCCTGAAATGTGCACGGCCATTCCTTCCTCCCCAGCCTGTGTGACCTGACAGCTTGTGTTATCACGTCAGGTGAAATGTGACCACTACTGGCCCTTCACGGAAGAGCCCATCGCTTATGGAGATATCACTGTGGAGATGATCTCGGAGGAAGAGCAGCATGACTGGGCCTGCAGACACTTCCGGATCAACTACGTAAGTCACCACATGCTGAGGCGACCCTGGTGGAGCCAGGGGACCTAGGCCCCATCCCGTCAGACAGGGGTGTGGCAGGCTGGTCAGCCCTGCTTCCTTTCAGAAAAGGGCCCTGAAGGCAGACAATGGAAACAAAAACCAGCCATGTCCACATACCATGAGCCCTTATTCATCAGTTATGAGTTTACATTCAGAAGAACGATATCACTTCCTTCATTACTGGCAGTTAACTTTGGCTTTTGTCACAAGGAGAATTTAGACAAATCCTCACTGGACCATAACAGACTATGCCTCATGTTGTTGCCTCTCTTTGAAAAATGCTCATCTCCTCCTATTCCCTGAGAACATTCCCACCCTCACCTGGAAATTCCTCTCACACATGGAGCCTTTGCAAGTGGGAGTCCCTTCCTCGTTGCTCGAGCCCCCCAAGGTCCTACTCCATCCAGTCTCCACGCCTGCCTCCAGGGCCAGTGTGCTGGGAGTTTGGGTAGCAGATGTTCTGTTTTAGGAATCCCTGTATCCCAACATAGCACCCCCTGATAAATCTGTGTGGAAGGAGTAAGTCAGTGCGTGGGTGGGTGATTATACTGATACTAAAGCCCTGAAAGCTGCAGACTTCCCACCAGAGAAGCTGCCAGCCATCTAAATGCCATTTGAACTCTCCTTTCTTTCTTGACCATGTCAGCCAGAAAGCAGTGCAAGTTGCTAGACAAATATAGAACAGAGCTTTCCCTACCTTTGCATCTAGAAGAAAAAGACAGCAGAGCCCAATGTAGGGTCCATTTCCACCATGTTCCCTTAACAGGGAAGAGTCAGAAATCAGGTTAATACTGTGCTTCCTGTCCTTGGTCAATTTTTTTTCCTTTGGCACTGCAGATCCTTTCATTTTTTGTTGTCATTTATATATAATATTTCATTGAGTAGGTCCTCTGGGTCTTAAACGATGACCTCTGTTTCAGTGACAACTATGTGACAGGTTTATATATAAAGTGTGTATATGGCACTGGAAAGCACTTGGTCCCAGAGTCTCCTTTTTGGGCAATAAACATACAAAATCTCAAATTTAACCTCCTGCAGTGAAGGTTAAATGGCCAAAGATCATATATTGTGCTGATATTTCCTTATGTCATTTTTTATTTATACTCCGATTCCCTCCATGTGTGGAATGTTGCAGAGTACAAGCTCAGCACAAATGAGGAAATCAGGGAAAGAAATAAGGAATTTCCAAGTAAGAAGTAGCCAGATGAGTTTCCTGACTTAACAAGAAAGGAGGAAAATGACTAAGACACAATTTGTCACTCGCCAGTACATGAAACTTGGAATTAAGAACTGGAAACTAAAAACTAGCACAACTATGGTCTTCTGCACTGTGCTATTTAGCTACAGTGGTGAGCCTGGTGCTAGACCTGTCTTGCAGCTGGTGGAGAGGAATTAAGAACTGGAAATTAAGAACTAGAATTAAGAACTGGAAACTAAAAACTAGCACAATTACGGTTTTCTGCACTGTACTATTCAGCTGCAGTGGTGAGCCTGGTTCTAGAAGCCTGGTGGAGAGGCTAATACTTAAGTGTTGCCTATACTCAGCAATTGAGGAAAATGAGCATTTTTGTGAACTTTTCTGGGGGAAAAAGCAAATTAACTGGTGGTTGAGTATCCTTAAATCCTTATGGAGGTGAGTAATCAGTACATTGTGCACATTTAACTGTGCTTGGCTCAATTTCTCACCTTCCTTCCAGACACGGCCATGAAGGCAACCTGCACCTCTGCAGACTACCCTCTCTGGGGGTCTAAGAGTGGGTTGTGGACCCAGTGGGGGGGAGGGGAGGGCGGGCACTGCATGCATCTGGGATCTGGCCTCTAGTGCCAAAGAGACAAGAGAGGGTGACTGAAGTGCTGACTGACTTATTTTCATACAAATGTTGTTATATATTTATTTTTACACAATTTTTACTCAGCCCCAAACCACTGCCCCCTTTGGAATTTTCATGCCCGATCCCAGACTCTTCCACATTATGGTATAGTAGTCCATCCACTGAGAGGATTCTAGATTCTTAGCAAGTTTGAGGGATGGGAGATGAATTAGATCTTTGTGAGCCCTGGGTTTGGAATATTTCTGAACTTAGTTCAGAGAGAACAACTTGTTTGCTGTCTGGATTAATTTTGATACAGTAAATAGGAAAAATACACACCCTTCATGGGGACCCCAGAAGCCGGCGTATCAGCACTCTGAGCTGGAGAAGCAGTGCATTTATGGGGTGGTGTTGGTGATGGTGATGAGATCCATGTGTCCCCTCCTTCAAAAACATGATCATATATAATCCACAAATAGTCATTTTGGTTATTACGAGACCCTCTGTAGAGATGAGAAAACTGGTGCTGAGTGAGTTTGTCTTGGGTCGGGCCCCCTAGGATCAGAGCTGAAGACAGGGTGGTGATAGAGGTGACTTGTTGAAAGTATTCCCTCCGAAAGCTGTGAGCAACAAGAGAAACAGGATAGGACAGGACAGGGAAAAAGCTACACATGGCTGTGGATTTGGTTGAAGTCCAGCTCTGGCCAGGGCATAAAAGGGTGCCCCTGGGGAGGGTGGTATACCCCAGCATCAGCTGGTCATTGGCTGCCATCCTCAGTAGGAGCACACAACTCTTAGTCATTTCAGCAAGGCAGCTCCTTTCAGGGGAGAACAGCTATCAGAAGGGTGCATTGTATGTACTTAGCAGCAACAATTGTGGGAAAGCATTGTATCAGCCAGGGCGCCCAAGGGCGCCCCCCACTGCACCTGCCACAGTGTCTAATCCTTGGCTAATGCTGATATAACTGCTCAGAGGCAGACCCAAGAGGCAAACCTGAATTTGCTGAAGTTCTGCTTTATATACAGGCTGGGGGTAGCCTATTTATCCTGCTCTTTGAAGTTTTATACGATTAACACTTAAAATTTGCAGCCTGCTTTGTGCCAGGCACGATGCTCAGAGCTGGCAAGAGGAGTGAACTGGCCAGGAGCGGAAGGTGGCTTTCCCCTCTCCCGCCATGAACATGTGAGCCTCATGGAGGCCTGGATCATCCTGATGGAGATTAACGCTTGTTTTGGGCTTTCTCCTCAAGGCTGATGAGATGCAGGATGTGATGCACTTGAACTACACCTCATGGCCTGATCACGGAGTGCCCACAGCAAATGCTGCAGAAAGTATCCTGCAGTTTGTCCACGTGGTCCGACAACAAGCTACCAAGAGCAAAGGCCCCATGATCGTGCACTGCAGGTAACCTTGCCCCGCGCCTGCCTGCTGAGCACCACGGGGCTGATTCATAAAGAAAACTGCCCGTTGTACATACACTCCCAGGCAGATTGAGTTGACAGTGCAGTGAATTATGATTTTATTTTATTTTATTTTTAAAGATTTATTTATTTATTTATACAAGCATTGAGTACAGTCAGAAGCATGGGAGGGTGAGAGAGAATTCACCAGATCCAGAGTGGGGAGCAGAACAGGCAGACTGACGAAACACACTGCTAAGGGGAGCAGCGGGTGCGGCAGGAGAGGTCTGCGCGCCATGTGGGACCCTTACCGGTGGCCAGGGATCGAACCAACGCTGCAGAGGCTGCGGGCAGCTTCGCAGCCCAGCGCTCAACGGCTGCACCATCAGGGGAGGCCCAGTGAATTATGATTTTTAGAATTCATGATTAACTGATGTTTTATAACATACAAGGTCTAATTATTATATGGTTATTTTATATCTTGTAGCCTGTAAGACAGGTATTATTCCGATTTTCAGATGAGAAAAATGGAGAACTAGGAAGGAATTCATACAAGTTCATGCAACTAGAAGTTGGAGAAGTTAGGTTTAAGCCCAGACACACAGTCCCTAAAGGCCATGTCCTTCAGCATGACCCTCGCCTGCCCTAGGATGCTGAGCGCTGTGTAACTGGGCAAAATGGAAGGCAGATTGATGATAGCTAAGCATAGTCCATAAGTATATAAGTAGAGGTAAAAGGAAGGAAACAGAAAATTGCACATATTTAGCTCATTAGAATGAACCTATTGACTGTGTCCTTCACAACAGTCTCTAATTCCTTATGGGGAGTTATCTTTGAATTTAAGCTTTCCTTCCTACCAAGTGAACAGGGCCCCATCAGAATCCACCAGTGTGACCTATTACTGTTTTAAAATTGTTATGCAACCTCAAAAGAGCAGGGGATATGAAAGTATGCCCCTCCTGTGTCTCAGAGGCAAAAGCCAGTTAAGGATGTGGCAGGAGGCACTGGCAACCCCACGGCAGCCTAAGCCAAGGCATGTAGGCCAAGAGATGGTGCCTTGGCGTATGTTTGTGTTGGGGGAGTGGCAGGCGAGTAGGTCTCTCCCTGGAAAGAAAAGTGCTTCCTAAGCCACCAAGTTTCTGGTTAGGGCCTATCCTTGCTGTCAGCAGACCCTAGGCAGTCACAGGTAAAACCTGGGCTGGCAGATGGAATTATCTGGTCTCAGGATGGTTCTTTCAAGAGTAGAGGATAAAGCTGCTCGTGTATGGGGTCAAACTGGTGGAGTCCCTTCAGAGCGAGTGGCAGGCACACTGTGGGCATGACTTTACAGGTGTTCACCTAGAGTGAGAGTGTTTTATCTGAGAAGGTAAATCCCTGTGGCAGTGAGAAAGCAAAGCAGCAGTGTCTCCGAGCTGCAGCTGTGTGCGGCCATGGTTGGTGTTTCTTCCAGTGTCACAGTTCTGATAGTCCCTGGGGAGAGTCTGCATGCTGGCCTCCCCTCCTTGACTGCTCTCTTCCTGAGGAAAGTCAAGATTCCTGAGTGAGCTTGCTGGGGAGGGGCCCTGCCCTCAGGCAGCTGAGACATGGAAGCAGGTCCCTGTTTTGTGAGCAGCTTGGCGTTAAGGCCTCACACCCACTTCCCAACTGCAGCCCCAGGGCCGTGGCTGTTTGTGGAGGGTCTTCAACCCTATGATCTATTCAGCACCCCAGATCTGCAGAAGAGCACATCTGCCTCTGATAGATCCTGGGCCTGCTTTAGTCACCCAGAGATCTTTTAAAGGCAGCAATAAAGTGAGACACACATATTTTTCCGTTGCCCAGCATATATAAAAGTTATGTTTATATTCTACCATGGTCTAAAGTCAGCAACAGCATTATGGCTCCAAGAAAACATGGATATACCTTAGGTAAAAATATTTTACTGCTAAAACAAAGTGAGCACAGGCCAGATACGTGAGGGTTTTCAGAAACCTCGAATGTGTAAGCAGCACAATATCCATGAAGTGCAATAAAGTGACACACAGTGAAACCAGCTGCACCTGTTTAAAAAAACAGGTGAGTGGAAAATGCCACTGGAATTTGGTCTTCTGTGCCCTTAATGGTGTCACTGGTGATTTCATGGCCGGCCCCCACTCAGGGGTTCCTGGGCTGCTGAGTGACAACTGTCTGTGCTCTCTCGCAGCGCCGGGGTGGGGCGCACGGGGACCTTCATCGCACTGGACCGGCTCCTACAGCACATTCGGGATCATGAGTTTGTGGACATCTTGGGGCTGGTGTCGGAAATGCGGTCCTACCGGATGTCGATGGTACAGACAGAGGTAGGAGCGTGATCAGTAGGTGGTTTTTAATTTGTCCTGTCATTCAGTGTCAGGCTTCGAAACAATCTTCTCAAAATGTGTTTTGCCTTTGCTGTTCCAAGTTTCTTACTGTGCGTGTTCAGACTGTTTCAAGGCATATAAAAGAAGCAGGTATTCGCATTTAGAAATCCACTTAGGTGTACTCTTCCATGGGCACCATGTGCCCTTTAGCAATCCAGGGCACATGGGTGTGTCTGTAACAGAAGAAAACCTCTTTGAACAGACTGAGTTCGGGGAAGGCAACAGTCTGCCTTGGTCAATCCACCAATGGAGGCTGGGATCTGATGGGGCTAAATTTAAATTTGAAATGCTAAATTTAATACACCTATCTTTAGTTTGTCCTTCATGTGATTCTGTCTCAATCCATTTTATTTACCAACTAATGCACCTGATTTAGTCAAAAGGCACTTCTTAGAATTTTCTGAGCTAAAACAATATGAACTGACAAAGATAAATTAGCTGCATTCCTTATTCTAAAAGATTGGGGAGTCAGGCACCCCCAGTGCAGTCTAGGAGAAAGCGTGTCCATCTACCTGGGGATGTCAAAGAAAGGTCCATTGAAGAAAATGTTTCACATAGGTTGTGATGGATAGGTTTGCTCTACTGGGGATATCTGAGGTGACAGTCTATGGAAGGAGCAGAGGATGGGAAACTCATGGATTATCTAAGGACCCAATTCATTCTTGATGATGATCATGGGTCAGATTTATGCTTCATCGCCCTTATGACTTTAAGGATTTCCTGCCCCCTATCCAGCAGAGATTATTGGCACAACAGAATAGCATCCCCAGCAATCTCTAGACATGTCCTGTTCCCTCTTCCTCCCCTTCTCCCTGAAAGCCTTGAGATGTCCTCAGGCTGGAGAGGCAACTCCAGGTCATGCCAGCTTTTCCCTCCTCCTCCTGGTGCAGAAGTGCACCTGGACAGCCCCAGACCTAAGCACAATAGCCAGTGTATAATCCTAGTCACCCAGCCACACTTGAGACTTCTTATCATCAGGTGAACAATCATCCTTTTCCTAAAGCGTGTGCATGGGCGGAAGCTGGTGGCTAGAATTCCACCTGGCTGACCTCTTCCTAATCTCCAAGAGATTAAAAAGGGCTCTGGTCTTCCTGCTTTTCCCATCACCCACCACTAGATGTCAGTAGAACTCAAAAAGCGGCAGTCGGTGCTGCCTGCTTTTGACACTGGAGTTTCTGCTTTTCCCACCTTTCCTGCTTTTCACTCCCCCACCCCCACCTGACCAAGGCTTCACACTGTGCTTTCACTGGCTTTATGCTGAGCCACAGCAGCATCATACAGTTTGGAAAAGGCCATCGATTCACATTCAGATGTCTCATCGGTGATTAGGAAACAAGTCATATATTTGTTTCCTCATTTCCCTGGGCCTGTTCACACCCCAGTTTTGCTGCCTTCTGGTTTCTGCTGTGGGACGTGAACATTACCTCGTTATCACGCATGTAAAATGTCTTGGTTTCCCAGAGAAGCCCACTACCTAGTCATTAAACTGCTTTACGAACAGGTCCCTATTTTTGGCTTTCACTTCCATAAATTTACATCCTAATATGTGATTAAAACTATTATGTAAATTAATCCCCAAGCTTCAAAGGGCCACGCCTTAGTTAAATATTTTGGATTGGATGAATTGTTTGCCCCATTGACTTAATTTATACCTTTTATAACATTACAGACTTTGATTATAGCCTGCTTGCTCTTGCCTTTCCCAACTACAGAATCTTAATCCCTTTTTAAAAACTACCTTCCCATGGCAGACCCTCCATCCAGTTGCCAGCACCATTCTCTTTCCTAACGTGTGGGAATCACACACAACTTGAGCAGCAACCACGCAGCTCTCTGCAAAGCCAAGAAAATGCTTTTTCTCCCCAACTGTCCTACCCCACGTTCTGCTAGCTTAGCGTCTCTGTGTTGCCCTTTAGGTTGCCTCTCCAGGGTCTTAAGCAGGATAGCCCTTCCCTCAACTCCCATGGGAAAACTCGGCCAGTTGAGGAGGCGGAGGTCACAAGTTACTTATTTTTCTCAACCATTTCCAACTTCACTCTTGAGTTACCTCCACCGCACTTTGTAGTGGACGTTCTGTAGTTCAAGTTAGTTATTTGTCGGTTTTGTAAATGGAACATCTTGTCCCTTTAGCTCTGCTTGTCCTCCCTTCCTGTCCTCTTCATGGCTGAACCCGTGTCTTGAATGTGAGGACTTTGCTGACCTGTCTCCTCGACCCCCCCCCCGCCCCCAGTCCGCTGCCTTCTCTCTCACTGCTGGTCATTAAAAGCAGGATAAAAAGCATTTTTTTCGGCTTCATCAACCTTTGACACTAAAGGTTTTCAAGAGGCCAAAGCAATGCTCCAGCCGATTCCTGTATGTCCATATAAGTCCTGTGTCCTGGGACCGGATTTCCCCTGGGCTGGTGTCCAAGCTCCTCCTTCTCTAGACCCCCCATCACTGTGACTCCAGAACCCACCCCCTCACACACGAGGGAAGTGCACGCTCGAGGTCCCTGCACCTGGTGTGTGGGCTGTTTGGACACACCCCCTCTCCTTTCTCACCTGACCAGACCCACCCTCTGGGCTCAAGGGGTAGAGAGAGGAGGGTTGTTAGCCAGACATGTGGGGAAGGCTGGGCACACTCACTGCACAGCTCACGCCACCACAAAGTTCCAGTTTTGCAGCTGTAAAAGGGAACGATCAGGTTCCTGACTGCTGTGTGTGGACATTCGATGGAAAGAGAGCATCTGGATAAATGTTTTTGCAACATCAGAGAATAGATGGCATTCAGGGCTCTCAGGTTCTCTGCTATTTTTATCAAATGTTTTGTTTGATTTTCCTCTTAGGGTTTGTTTTCAGCACTTAGTCCTTTGGTCTGCAGCTTAGACTTCCCAGGGGCTCTCAGGAACAAGTCTGTCAAGTCTTTTACTTACTTTTCCTGTGTGAGTTACTGAGTAGTTAGGGGCTGGAAAACCAATGTGTCTCTGGCCTTGCTATGCTCTGTGCTCGACACAGCAGAAGCAGTGTCCTGATGGTTACTAAGCAGAACACCCAGTTACTGATGTGCTACATACACAACAAGGGAAGGTATTTTCCCCAAATGTTGAAAAATAGATGTTAGGTTGAGCTTCAGCCCAGTGAGGTATAAAGTCGTAAACATATGCTTTGTATAAAGTCATACAAAAGGATCCTTAAAATCCTATGATTATTTGGACGTGTTCTCATTTAAAAGTTATTTCTAAAGGCAGAGCTTATAAACTCTAGACAATAAGGAGAAAGGTTATGAAATTACCTTGACAACATGGTACAAAGACTGCTCCTCGATATTGTGACGTCTCTCATCTCGGCCTTCATGGGAGTCTAACTTTGACACAATTGTGCTCAGATGCAGATACACAGGCTAAATTCTACATTCACATTTTTCACTTATTTTTGCTATGTGTGTAATCCCACATTGCCTGTGCCTCTGTAACTCTCGTTTTAAAGTCTGAATAATGTGTCATTATAGATACACCTTTGTTTATTTTTATAGAACATGACACTGGATACTTTTGAAATTTTTTATTAACTGTGTCCACAACACCATTTATTACTATTTTATTATTACTTCCACGAACAGATAAAAACGAGAGTTTCAAGAAACCCGGATCATCCTTGAATAGTGTTCATAGATTTAAAAAAAAAAAAAAAAACATATTCCCTGCCTTCAGGAATATCTGGTCTACTGATCAATGTATTTTGTCAATTTCATTATACTGATTTGGAAGAATTTTAAACAAGGTGTCAACACTGAGCCATAATCCTAGAAAGTATTTTTCTTCAGTTTATGGTTCATCTTTTATTTTTACTTGAATGGTAGTTTGGATTCCTTTTTACGAACAATGGAAGTAATGCTGGTTCATAACATTATATAGGGTTTCAGGCCTATAGACTTACGTAGAAACAACTGAATAGATGATGTTATGCTCATCACCTAAAGTCAGTTTCCATTCTTCACCAGATAACTGATCCCTTCTGCCCATTTTCCTCACCAACTCCCTCCCCCTCCCACCCCCGTGACCACTGATTTGTTCATTCGTTTTTCTGCCATGTGGGAGAACACATATGCTATGTCTTTGTAATTTATTCCATTGCTTTCCCATATACAAAGTCCTTCCTTAGTGTAATCAAAGAGGAGTTTGTATTTATCTCTATTTTATGGCTTATTAAATTTTCTGGAATTTATTTAGGTGTATTATAAGGGGATGTATTGCACTTTTCAAAATGGCTCCGTGATTTACTGATTGAATATTCACTGCCTCTAGCACTCAGTAGTGATGGTCTATCTTCTATTGTCAGTCAAAATGTTATAACTATTGGAGCTTATAAAATTACCTCATAATGAAAACTTTTCTTGGACATCACATCACAGTATTGAATTCTGCCATAGTATTAAATGTTACAGATTGGTACACACAGGTCCGCCTCTGAACAGTGTCTGTCTTGGGCCCCAGGAGCAGTACATCTTCATCCATCAGTGTGTGCAGCTGATGTGGATGAAGAAGAAGCAGCAGTTCTGCATCAGTGATGTCATCTACGAGAACGTCAGCAAGTCCTAGCCCAGGGTCGCAACGGTAAGTACCTCACACTTGCCATGGGCACCACCCCGAGAATGCAGGGTGGTGGTGATGGATTAGCATGCCAGGGGGCAGCAGCACCTGTGTTGACTCCGACCCCAGAGGTCGGACCTCCTCATTGCAAGAGGATACACGCTGGCAGGCCTAGGGCTTCAGGGCACTAGGTAGGGAGTGAGAACGGAGCCTAAAATTCTGGTATTGGATCTACACCTGCAATGTCAAGGTATTTCTCTAGCTATTCTGTGGGGATATTTTACTGATGGCAAGGTGGACCCTTGCCAAGGGGTTTCAAAATCCACATGAACTGGAGTAGACAAACAGCCTCAACAGTGTCAGGATAGTAGAGTCTAGAAATGCCTTGATGGCAGCCACTACATGAGCACACTCAAAGTCAGGTCCTCAGAGTTGGTAGGTTAAGTCAGCTTGGAATGTGTCTGGATATACTGAGGTAGGGAGACAACGGACAGGGGAGGGGCAGGACAGGGCTGCATTGTAAAAGAGAAAGGCAGATGGCATGAATGAGCCCTGGACCTTGGCTTCCACTGAGACAGTCAGAAAGTGCAAATAGTGAAAGGCAGATTCACAGGTCTAGGCAAAACTATTCAGGCCACAGAAGGAGCAACTGCACAGGGAAGGACGCACAGACACCCACGTGCAGATGGGGAGTGGGCTTGAGCAGGAGGAAGTCTTGAGCACTGGAATTCCCACCACAGAGCTATTGCTGTGGCCTTGTTCTCCCAGGGAGCTGACTGTCTGTCTCTCTCATTCACAGGACACGATGTGCAATCATCCTCCCTTGCTTCCAGAGTTTTTTTTGGGGGGAGGGGCTCTGCTAGCCCTTTTGCTAAAAGAGCCCCTGCTTTGCAGTACGTGGCCGCGGTGGTGATAATCTTTCTCATAGAAGCACCGGGAAGACTTAGCCTTAAAGAGCCTACAGTGTCTTCTGGACATCTAATCATGGACCAAATTCAGCTGAACAGCAGACTGGTGTAGGCGCTCTGCAGAGGGTAGGGAGCGCCCCCCCTGAAGCGTCCCCTCAACCCTGGGCAGGTTGGGCTGAGTTGACTATTGTTGCTTTTAAGTGCAATGCTTTTGTATGTGTGTGATCTTATCAGAAAGTGGAATTGTTTTCTGCCCACATGGTTGATCCAGCCCACGGCCCAGAAAGGAACAGGCATTGTTAGTGTCGAATTATACCTCATGTTATGAAAAAGCCCAGGCCACACGTGAAGAGACAGCAATGCTACTTCACGGAGACGGAGCCAGCACTGGCTGTACCCTGATCTTGAGCTACTGGAGCAGGAGTGGGAGGAGAGAAGGGCTTCACCTGGCGATCAACCACATTTCTTTTCCAAATACGCAAAGCTGTAATTCAGCTTCACAGTAGAGTAGAAAAAGTACTTAAGTCTTCAGTGTTCTAGTTCTTGATGGTTTTCTTATTAACTTTCAGTGTTTCCTCCTCGGCCCCTGTGGACTAACTGCACCTCCTGTCCTTTTCTGACAAGCCCGGTCTGTCTGGTTCAGACAGGCTGGAGACCTAAGCAGTCTCGGAATTTTGTGTTCCTTTTCTGTTGATCTGCACACACGTAGACGCTATTTCTTTGAGAACTATAGGCTGTGAAAACGCACTTTCCTTCCCCCAAAGAGCTGGGAGTTGGGGACGTTCTGACAAGGAACTGCAGCATGCGAGGACGATGATTTAGCTACCTTGGGGGAGGGGTGATGTTGTCAAATGTCTCCATTCTTTGGATTTTGTATGATTACAGTACATGGCTGTGTAGTGTGACATGAATGCTGTCAAAGTGGACCCCGATGGCCTGCTACTTTGTGTCACTTCCTGAGCAGGGAGAGGCGATGGAAGGGCTAGAAAAAGGAAGACATTTTGAGTCGAACGTAAATACAAGCTGGCTGCTTCACTGTGGCTGTGGTATGCCCTCTTGTGTGCACTGGGGTGGGGTGGGGGGCTCTGTGTGGGATCTCTGCCCCCCACCTCCCTGGCTCCCCTCCATTCCCATGGATGGTCTTTGTGAAGCAATGCACATAGGAGTGGATGAATGTTCTACGATGACCTCAGTGCAGGTGAAGGGTGCCAAGTGAACAGCCCTGCACCCCACCATCTCCTGTCACTGAGAACACCTTGGCATGGTTCTCTGCATGACCTGGCCAGTGAGTCTCAGTTTCAACTGGCAGGGTGGATGGCAGAGGATGGCCATGTCCTGCAGGCTGACAGCTTGGGCTCCAGGGGGACTGTCAGTTCCTACTCACCTCCCTTCCTCTCCTCACGCCTCCCTGTTGCCTGACACCTTTTCTCACACCCACCCCTCACGCCCCTTCTTGGTTAATAATGTATCACTCCATTCTCAGGAACACACCTGGTTAAAGAGAGGTGGCAAGTGCATGTGTGACATTCTCAGATTCACACAAGTGGGCCAGTCAGGAGTAAAGCGCAGCCTTGGAGAGCTGGTCTGCAGCACGGGAGGCTGGGACGCGTCTCCGATGTTCATGCACTGGAACATCGCGGCCTCTGAAATTTAAAGCACCTCATAAATATTTCATGGTTTTCTTGAGCACCCCTTCACAGTAGGGATCAAATAGTACAGATCAGTTTTCCCAAAAGAAAAGAAGTATGTAGCGTTTAGACTGCACAGAGGTCACACTAGAGCACTTTACTAGAACATTCCTTCAGGGGTCTCAGCCGGCATTCTGCTCCCTGGCGCCATGAAATTGTTGAGCTTCCAGCGGAAAGAAACATTGACTTGGAACTTCTCTCTCCTGAGTTTTGGTTAATAAACTGTAGGATGACCTACTAATAGCTCCGATTTTTTTCAGATACAAGGAGAATCAGATATGACGACTCACCCACAGGAACTCCACACTTGCACTTGCCCCTTCATGTACCATAAGGACATTCGAACCAGCTTAATTTCCACTCCAGGACTCAGATTTGTGTATTCAGGGGGGAGGCTGCGAGAGCCTCTGTTATTAACGTAGGCTGCTGTAGCATTAGCACCTGAGCTGTGCTCTGTGTGAACACTGGCATTCGCACATGCTGGTCATAATCGCGCCTCTGCAGGGAAAGCGCTGGAGCTTGGAATTGGAAAATGTCTGACTTTGAGTGCTGTTGAGATCCAACTCCTTGGCTGCAAAAGTGACCTCCTGAAGTTAGCTACGAAACTACCATTGGGGGTCTCCTTTAGCAATTTATTAGTAGACACCAATATATTCATCACCTCACATCATTACATAGTTCTATTTAACTTAAGGGAAGAACTAGATGGCAACATCATTTTTGGACAATCTAATTCAGGGTTCACAATTCCCCACTACAAAGATAATATTGTCCCCCTCACCCCATTTTAAAATTAGAAAATTGTTTTTTAAATGTCAGGTTTTTTTTTTTTTTCCTAAAAGCTGTCCCTTCCTCCCAAAAAAAGGCTGTGATAGCAACATGTAAACCAGGAGACTGAGACTTTGTATCTAAAATGTTTGCACTCCATATGAGAGCTGCTTGTCTGAGGACTGGCCCTTAGCCAAGGAGTTTAAAGCTCACTGACTCTAATCCCTGAGAGCCAACTCCTCCCTGCTTTCTAGCAAAGAGGCTTCCTTTCCACCTCAGGAAATGTCTGATGTCATGTGCTTCAACTAGCTGGCTGGGTTCCTCGCTCACCTGGCCTTTGGCATAGGACATCCACTTTGGCCAAAGGGCTGACAAAGCAACAAAAACATCCCACAAAAATGGTAAACCTGTACCCCTGCTTCTTAATAGTCCTACATTTAAGTATGCATTTGAAGGAAACTGAAGCTATGACAGCTCTGAGCACTGACCTTCCAGAACAACAGGATTTTTGTTTTCAGTGGATGGTTATCACAAGGCCTGATCATGGTGGGTCACTCGATTAGACATGGGGTATCCTGTTTAGCTCTGGAACTTGTATCATAAGAGGCACTTTGATAAACTTAAGGTTGTCCACATAGTATTTCCAGAACAGCTAGGAATGTAGAAAATAGGTCATAGTAACAAGGCCTGGACACAGTGGTGGGGCTAAGTCTGGAGTAAAGGAGAGCCACTCATTCAAGCATTCATGTAGCAAATATTTATCTAATGAATGAATCAACCAGTGAAAGCTTTCTTTATACTTGTGACATTGTAGGCACTGGGATAATAAGCATGGTACCCTACACTAACTTGTAAAAATGTTACAAATCCATTTTGTTGTTGGAAGAATGGAGCAGACAGTCAAGTCTTTGGCAACATTTTGTCACTTAGATATCCCCAACTTTGCCAAATCAGAAGCACCCTGTCCATCTGTGGTTTCAGCCATGCTCTGGGTCAGCCATGCTCTGAAAACACAGTAAGATTTTTGGAGAGCAACAGAGGCCACACTCACACAACTTTTTCCAGCATATTGTTCAAATTTCCCATTGTTAATCTCTTACTGTACCTAATGAATGAATTCAGCTCCATCATAGGTATGCATGTGTTCTGCAAAAAACTACTGGTCAAGATACTAGTGTTATACTTTCACTCCAATTTTATAAAACAGAATATCCAGGTTCTCATTGTTTTTGTTACTCATCAACGACCACAGGTTCCTCCTTGATGAGACTCATTAAGCTCTCCTACTCAAAACAAGCTCTCCACTGCAGGCCTGGCAGATGGCTAGTCTTCCCTACTGCACACCTCCGGTACCAAGCACTGCCACCTTGGCAGGCTGCCCCTGCATTTTCCAGAGAGCATTTCCTTTTATTTATACCTCAAAGGATCCCTACCAAGAATACAAGTGGCAGAAGCAGGTTCTAACCCAGGTTGTCTAGATCCCAAACCCCCCTTTTCCCACTACCTCATGCTGTATCCTATTCATCATTGCTTAAATATGGTAGCACAGAACCAACAGCTTCATTTTCAGGTGATGTGTCTGGGTGCTTAAACTTCCAATTTGAAAACATTACATCTCTAAACACATCAGAAAATCACTTACCCCACATCCCATGTCAGGCAGTGGAAGGGGGTGGAGTTATGAAGACAATTGAAACAGACCTGCTTCAAGGAGTTCATTCTGATAGGGAAATCAGTAGTGAACAGATGGATTGTTGGAATCTATAAAGGATCCGATATACACCCAAGAATGACAGGTTATTTTTTTTCTGGAAGGGTCAAGAAAGATGATCCTGCCACATTAACATATTAAAGACTATAGATGTAGCCACATTGAAGAATACAGGTTATGCACAATCATTCACTCCTGCACTGGCAAGCATTCATAAACACCCACTGCACATTTATCCCTTGGCCCATATGGGTTATGAAACCTCCAACCTGCCTTCTGCAGCTTTGTTTTATGGCTGATCCCAAAGTGACAATTTCCTTCCAGCTCTCCACAGACCACTCCAGCTCATCTGCTACTTAGCAGACTTACTGTAAATGTAACTAATAACTTATTGGGACTGCATTTCCTTGTAAGTGGAAGGTAGGCAGATGACAGATTTCCCTCCCTGCCCCCTGAAAAATCACACATAAGCAACCTTCTGCCTCTCCTATCCTCTCTCGCTCTCCTCTTCTCTCTCTCCTTTTCTCTTTTTCTCTGTCTCCAGAGATGGTGGTTCCAAAAAAATAGAAGCCTGGGTCTCCGAATAACCACCTGGAGGAGGAATACCTATCTGCACTAGCCCATGATCTGATCAACAAATTCTGTTGTGTTGTCAATGAGATTCTGCTCTCACAGGCCATGGGAGCTGAGGATAACCTTGGCAAATGCCCCATCTCGGTGACAGGGGAGCATGACTGCCCCATGAAGTTCCCAGAAAACACGTTAAAGATGAAACAGCAAAGCCAGGTTACTCCCCAAGGACACATGGGCTCTGCTGAAGGTCACAGACAAATGTTAATACATTAAATAAACTTTTCTATGGAAATCAGCTCATTCTTCTCCAGCAGTATCCTTCCAACTTAGATTTCCTTCCTTGTTTGATTGTCCTTTTTTGAACCCTGTAAGACGACTACTAGCTAGGAAACCCGCTCAAATTTTTGAGCCTGCACAAGCGTCCCAGATTCCAATCAACAATAGCCCCACAGTGTTTTCGCATCAGTGACAGCCTCAATGTGCAGGAGGCCACAAGGCTTGGCATGCAGGGTGACACTGAGCAAGCCAGGACTTCACCTGTGTATCATGAGGGGACTCCACGTCAGCAGGAAGGAGTTCAAACCTAGCTGACGTCAAACATTTTTGTTCAGTTCTAAGAACACTAAAAAGTCCCAAGGGCTGATTAGGGAAAGCTAACTACAAGGTCAAAACAGTAACTACTGACATCCAGGAAGTGTGGGGAGCAGCTAGCCAGCAGGGTGGGGCATCAGACTGAGAGGGTGGGGCATCTGACCGTGACGCTGCTGTCTCAGCTGTGAAATGGACATGGTGATGAACGCTTTCTCATGGGGCTGAAAACAAGATCTGATATAACTCAGTTTATCACACGGCTCCCTGGTGTAAGCAAACCTCCCAGTATCCAAGGACCATCTTGGAATTCCTGACTACACCTGAGAACAACATCTGCAGATGGGCCAGTTCAGTTTCCCCAGAGCAATACAGGAAAATGCCATCCCTGCCACCCCCTCCAACTCACAAGTGACAGAAATCAAAATATAAAGGTGCAGCAGCCTGGGGACCCAGAGGAGAACCTGGTCCCACAGGCACGTATCTACGGAGTGGATCCTCTGACCAGTCCTGGGTTTTACTTTGAGTCTCTCCCAAGTTCATCAGCAGTGTGTGTTGTTTTGTGTCCAGTGCATGTAACAACCCTCCCCCAAACCCAGCATTTCCCAGCAAAGCATTGCAGAGCCTGATGCACAGTGGGTGGGAGTTTGGGACACTGCAGGCAAAGCCACAAATGAGTTACATAATAGGTCTAACTGAAATTAGCTGCTACTTTTGAGACAAGCCGATCTGTACAAACTATAGGTAAGAGGCCTGCGCAGAGCTATTAAGCAAATGCCACTTTTGGCCCTCTCAGCCAGTCTTCCTGTTCATAAAGGGGAAGTGCTTTCTCCACAGGCAACGCTGAGGATGACACGCAGAGCCTTTGGCGTCAGCCTGGAGGTTTGGGGATGCAGTTTCTGCCCTGACATAACTGACCAACAAGAGACTTGAGCACAGCACCCTGCACTGACACTTAACAGTGGTTTGCTCTTGGGAAGTCACCTACTCTTTCTCCCCCCAAAGTCAGACCTACCTGCGGAGTGAGGGTTAACTCAGGTGGCCATGTGGAATGCCAGCCCCACACGTGTAATGAATATGATATGACCCCCCAACCTGTTGGCTGTCAGCATGTTTATACTACCAACCCCCTCGCTAAAGCACCGCGACTTCTGTAAGGATGTGTGCCAAACTGACTCCCCAAGCCTCCTGGGGGTAAGGGGGGGCCTTACAGTGAGCACCCATCCACCAGTCCTGCTCCAGGGTGGGGCAGCAGCCTCCATGCAGCTCTGTAGACACATCTGTGCACACGTCTGGCAGGGCCGTGGGAGCTGATAACTTGCATTTTGTAAATTCACAGAGCTGTGGCCAAGGGCAGTCCCTTGCCATTTTTTCTAGAGCCGCAAGATAAATGAATTAATTACCCCAATATCTAAATTGTGCCCTATAGTCGGATTGATTTTAGAGATGAAGCAACAAGCAGGTTTCCCTAACTCCCCTGCACTGATTTCCTAAAGGTTTACATACTGGCTACGGGATCCAGGGTTACTACAGGTTTGTAATAGTCTAGGCCTTCTCACCTTGCAAAGAGCTGTGTTCTGGAGCCAGATAAGAGATGATGACAGTTGTCTTTGCCCAGGGCCCAGTAGCTCTGCGCTTCCGTTCATTCACCGGTTCGAGCCACATCGATCCCAAGACTGCATGCATTCCAGGAGCAGAGAAAGGCTGCCATCTCTTGTTAGACAAGCCCGCCACAGGCTAGCTCCCAGCACAGGCACCCAACCCTGGTTCTGGCCTGGGAAGACTGGGCCAGGAGCCATCATCTTTTCCCTGATTTATGAGCATTCTACATTTCTTCTCCAAAGCACAGATGTTGGGATTGAGAAGATATCAAAAGCAATTTCCACATTTAAATACAGTAGTGATTGGGGCTGGGGTGATCAATCAATCCTCTGAAATTCCCCATAAGTGTAAATGACCTTTGAAACCAAGGACTCCCTTTCTGGGTCTAAGTGTTGCCATGGGGTGAATAGCTCCCAAGCTGCCCTCACTCTATCTGCAAAGGCCTTCAAGGTGGAGGGACTACAGACCTGACCCTTGACTTCCAATGAGGCTCCAAGACTCCCTCCTGCAGTTTCAGTGAGAGAAACCAAGCTTCCTTATTTCATAGTTTTTTTCTCATATCATTGTAGCCCCCATGGTTCTCCCACCACCATATCACCTATGAACCATCACCATATTCTCTTGTGTTTGTCCCTCCATTTTTCCCTCCCCTCCTTTGCTATATGTCTCAGATCTACGGTCAACTTGCTAGTTTTGACTTTTTCTTAACCTTTTGTTTGGTTTCTCTATATTCCACTCAGCAATCAAAAAAAGATAAGTTCATTTTTAAAAAATGCTTTTTTTTTTTTATATATATACTCACCCAGGATATCTGAAGAAAAAATTTGCAGGATACATAGAAGTCTAAATGGAAGTCAGTACTTCCATTCTCCTTACTGTGTAACTCTGTGCAGGTTACTTTTGTCTAAGTTTCAGTTTACTCATCTGTATAATGGGGTAGATGTGGGAGTTCTCAGCCCAGATGAGACAGTTCCCATTTTCCTTTCCTTTCCTTAAGAATAGATGGGTGGGAAAGGCCTCAGCATCTGCCAGCTCTGAATGTGTAACCAGGAAACCATACAAAGTGCATAGGAACTATGGGTATTAAAGCGTATGTGTGTGTGTTATTCCCTGCTTGTCTATTACCTGGAAAGACTATTCATTTTGGGGAATAACAGGAATGGCTGAAGCTGAAAAACTACAATCAGGCTTGCTGGTCAGAAGTAACTACTTCAGGGCTGCCCCAGAAAAGCAGGATTTCAGCCAAGTACCTGGGGACTATGAGCAGGAAGGGAGGAGACCACGGGACCACCCTGGATCAGAACCATCTGGGCCTGGCAGGAGTCCTGGTTCATTGCCCACCTTGCCCCAGCACCAAACTAAAGGCACTATATCAAATGCTCTTCAGGAAGTGTGTCAGCTGGTAAAAATTCCAATTGATACAGAAATCAAAATTCAGAATTCTGAGAGCAAAAATAAATAAAAAGGAGAGGAGTCTACAGGTGGTATGGAAGAGGTCAGCAGGAAAGAAGGGATAGAGGAAGCAAGATGATGTGAGGAAAATGGTGGGGAAAGCTGTGAGGACAGATTGACATTCCTGGATGGGACCCAGAACTGTTGGAAATACCACCTTTCTTTAGAGTCACCTATAGCGACCACAGTTTTGTGAGAATTTTGTTTGTTTTCTTTTGTTACAGGGAAGTTCCAACAGAAAGGTGGCAGGATGGGACTGCCTTCTCCTTCCAACTCATTCCCAGGGGCGCTTTACACAACCCCACAAAGACCTCTCACACTAGACTAACTTACAGGCATGCCCTTCAGGAAAAGCAAAATTTCCCAAGCATAAAATCACAGCCTCTGGGAAATAAGCACTGCTGGGTTTAGGGTATAATTTTGCCCCAGGAGATCAAAGGTGTAGCTCCAGGGATAAATAAGGCAAACAGTTCTTAAATTATATGTTCCTGATGGCAGAGGCTGTATCTAGGATTCTCTTTGGATAGCCAATTCTTGAAGTAAATACTTAAAAATATTTCATGAACAATGCTGTCTTCTCATAAGCAGTCTTTATATAAACCACTTTAATTAGTCTGTAGGACTTGCAAATGTCCCAGCCTCCTTAGGAAAGCATGAAGCAGCAAGGAGGCCTAACCATAGTGAGATCTCTACCCAACCCCCAATGCTGCCCCTACCTATACATTTAATTTTTAAAAATAAGTATCAATTTTTCCTATAAATTTTCTTAGAGAAACATATGAAAGGAAGAATTTTAAGTGACTGGAGTTCTCTCACATTAGCATATCACCCAGTACCTCTCATGGGAAAGAAAATAAAATGGAATGGTCACCTTCTATAAGCAGAACAAGGCTACAATCCTTGGGAGAAGGTGACTGACTGCTTGAAGACAAATCCACTGAGGATCCAAGCAAAGAAGGTTAATCCTGCTGAGCTGAGGAAGCAAAGATCAGTGTTTAGGGCACTCGAAATAGCCAGAGTCCAAAGGAAGACACCAGAGTGGAGGCATTTGTGCAGAGTGAACAGAGGCATCTGTAAGTGAAACCACCCAGTTCACATAGAAAATCACCCAAGTCTTCTTGGCCAGTGGCTGCCCCAAGGCTGAGAGAAGACTAGAGCTAACAGAGGTAGACCTGCTGGGGGCAGTAGAGATATGATCAGCAAAAGTGAAGAGAACTATTTAACACCTTTTTACTGTGAACATCCAGTGAGATGCAAAATATCTTGGAATTCATCCCAAAATGGACATGCAATTAAAATAAGGACTCCACAGTGAAAACTACTCAACATCACCTGCAGCACCACTGCAAACCCTCAGTTACCAGTGTTAAGAGTCCAGGATCCTCTCTTCAAGGTCTCTGGCACAGCTCTCCTGGGGACCATGGACTTTCAAGCATGTACAGAAGAGAAAGTGCAGAGGTTATGCAGCAGGATTGGGGTGGGCAGGTTAATGAGCTATTTTCTCACTTTCAAATCTAGCCCCAATTCTCACTTCTGTGCTTCAGGGCTTTGGCAGTTGTCTCTCAACGGGATCCTGCCCCGAGTGTACTGCAGGGAGATAAGAAGCTAGAGGGGACACAGTACTTGCTCTCTCCTGTTTTGCTCCGTTTTTATCAAGTCACAGCAATAACAGCTCTTTAAGCAGAAATTGATTTCCAGTGGGTTCTAGTTCTGTTTTGTGTGTCCCCACATTCTCAGAAACAGCTTTATGGGGCCCTCTCAAATTCAAGTGCCAGGTAGCTGACAAATGCCTCAGAAGTCAGGTATAATGTGTTGGAAAGAATGAGAAATAAAAGGTGAGAGACTTCTTATCCCTCATGATTTTGGGAAAATTAGCCCCAAGGAAGCTAAGTCTCCTCATCTATAAAATTCCACTCATATGACAAATATAATTTATGTGGAAGCATTAAGTAATCCTAAGTGTTATACAGATATTTTTTTTAATAACCATAGCCAATTGTTATCAGGTAATAAAAGGAAAAGATGATGAAATAAAAAAGGTAGGTGGAAAGAAGAGAAAACACTTTTGAAAAAAGCATTCTA